TTTAAAAAAATATGCAAATTTTTTGGCGGGAAAGCGATCTCAGGAGCCACACGAGCTAAGGGGCTAAAACTTTGTAGGGATATTCCCTGTGTATGTACCAGCTAAAGATTTCAGATTCAGCTCCCAGGTATGCGTGGTACTCAAGCAAGAGCACTTGAAAGTTTTAGAGGGAAAATTGCTAACTCAGGTACCAGGGAAGCTAGAAAGCTGAAATTTTGGAGGAATGTTCCCTATCGAAGTACAACTGAAATGCTTCAAATTCAGCCCCCAGCTATGCATGGTACTCACGTAAGGTCGTATGAAAGTTTTTGCAAGAAAATTACTAACTCAGCAACCAGAAGAGCTGGAAGGCTGAAATTTTCGGGTGATGTCCCCTGTCCACGTTCAATTTAAAAATTTCAGCTCTCCAGGTACGTAGGGCACCCATGTACGGGCATGTAAAGGTTTTGGCGAGAATATTGCTAACTCGGTATCCAGAAAAGCTGGAAGGCTGAAATTTTAGAAAAATATTCCCTGTCCAAGTACAAATTAAATATTTCAAATCCAGCCCCAAGCTATGCGTGGTACTTACGTAAGGATTTCTGAAATTTTCTGCGGAAAAATTACTAACTCGGCAACTAGAAAAGATGGAAGGCTGAAACTTTATGGGGGATGTTCCCTGTCCAAGTACAACTTAAGTGTTTCAAATTCAGCCTTGAGTTACGCGTGGTTCTTACGTACGGGTACTTAAAATTTTGGCTGAATTCCTGACTGAGCAACTCGGTTACTTTTAAAGGACGATCGTTAAATGGAAAATATACATCTACTTTATGCAAAATTTATGGTAATTTATGCTAGTGATCGCAAAAGGTAGGTGCAAAGCAGCAACCATTCATGCAGTTAATGACCTGAGTACTTTAAGTCCGGTGCAAAAACGCATGATCGCTCGGGCCCGCCCAGTGCGTCCCAGCCTGGGTTTATTAGTTGTCAAAATACGATTGTGTTCCTCTGCACGGTGAGCCAATAACGCCAAACAAATTGCATATGTTAACATATACAAGAGTTCAGGCCCCCCTTCTCTTCCAACCTCCTAGCCAGGGATATACACTTTTTGCATATTTAAAATTTCTGAAACACTTCGAAGGCTAAAGCCGCACCGTTCCGGTACCAATAAGCCTAAAATCCCTTTGGAAATGAAATCGAACATCGCAGTCGTCAACAGGCAAAGTAGTATTCGTTCAATCAGAACTTGCCAGCTGCATAGACGGAAAATCGTACTAGGAATTAAAATTTGGTACTCTAAATTTGAAAAAAAACTAGCGGAATGGGTTTTCCATGTAACGGGTTCCAAATTAAGCATGCATGACAGTTGAATCAGAAAAGGGAGCAGCACGTGGGTATGTCGATGTTGAGAAAACATACTCAATAACTGCACTGATCTCAGACTCTGATGTTAAGAGCAAGCCA